AGTTTCAACTCAAGAATTTTGAATTTAATCGAATTCGTGTTAACTGTTTTTTCATTTTAAGACTTTGAATTTTGACTGCATTTTGAAAAAAAAAATCAGCTTAACATATATACAAAATGTGTTAAATACAAATGGATAAGGTTATTTTTTTTTTAACGTAAACTTTCAGTTTTGAACTACATTTTTTTTGGTCTGCCTCGCAGACTTGATGGATAAAAAATGTCAAAGCTTGAATGAATAATTAATATTCAAAACATAAAATGATATATTATTTGAAGATATGTAAAATTTAATTAGTATACGTTAGCATTTACCCATTGAGTAATCAAAAAATAAATAGTCAATGGCATATTCTAATCTTTGCGAAAATGTTCCTCTCTAGAGCTTTTACCGTCCTTATAATTCTCAACTGTTGTGAACGAAGCTTTTGCAGTATTCGCTTTCAGCATATTTTATTGTCATTTGGACATCAAACAGAGCGTAACTTCATGTCACGCAATGTCAAGCTTGACTTTTGCAAAGTTTCTTGCTCTATTATAGAGCCCTAAAGTCCCCAAACTGCCCCGTATTGCCCCCGTCCCTATTCTCGCTCTGCCACTGAATAATATGCTGCTTTGACCGTAAATCGAATCGTTGATGCGTTAAGTTGTATTTGAAAGCTTCTGAGTTTGAACTTGAAATTCGTTGCTATGCATATTTTTTTCTCTTTTTTTCTCTTTTTTGAGGTTTGACAAACTTGATCTAATGATGTGCCCCAATTTTGAGTGTGCGAAATATGAAATTCTTCTTTGGCAAACTGATGAAATAGTTGTAAAGAATTTCCATATTTGATGAGAACATTTCCATAGAAGCAAATCAAATCAAAATTTGATGTGCGACAATCTGGTTGGAGGAATGTGGGCATGAGAACTACGCTGAGAATTGAAATGAGATAAGTTGAAATAGCTTTGGCATAAATTTATCCACAAAGCCTTTCATATGTGCAGCATGACTCAGCATATTATTTGCATAAAGAGAACCGCGGGACGTCAAAAGACAATTAATTAGTTATTTTGGTTTAATCAACAAACTATTACACAATTGACACCCTGCTGTTAACACACAATTTAGTTGATCAGTTTATGAATGTGGTTTGATAAACAACAACTTTCGCTTGTGCTGGAGAGGGCAAAAAGGCCCTATATAAGTATATAGATATGTATATATATATATATATGTGTCGTATATGGGTCAGGTGTGGGAGTTACTTTGCCTAAAATCTATCTAATTTTAAATATATAATTTATGTTTCCGTATCTACTGAAATATGCTACTCAACAATAGTTCAGGGTACAGATAAAAAGTTAGTTCTTTTGGGCCTTCATATAAGATAGGCATGGACACGTTTTTACGGAGTATTCTTTATTTTTAACAGGGAAATTATTGTGAATTGTATAAAGTTATAAACTAAGTATGCTGAGCCCAAATTAGTTCATAATTCAAGCATGTTAATTTATGATTTAATACCTTTAACTATGAAATTAAATTCAGATATTTAATCTAGTACTAGAATACGAAACAGTTTCTTCGAATGTTTAATTCAAATATATATTTGATATATATGGTAAAAAAAAGCTGTATTCGTAAAATTCCTGTTTTTGAAACCTGTTACACATGTTAATAATCAATTGAATTGCATCATATTATTTTTACGTCTGGAGGTAGAAAATTCACTTATAAATTCCCTATCATTCGATTTATGAAATTACCAATTATGATTTAAATAAAATGCAAGCTACGTTTGAACAGATTTTTTAATAATTTTTTTATTTAATTATATATTTTTGATTTTGGTTTATTTATATAATTTTTTTTGTAACCTTTGCTCTTAAGCGAGCTGAAAAAAATAAATATTTTTCGGGCTTATAAATTTATGAACGTTTTTAAGCAAAAAGCCAGCAATTTGTGTGGGCGACTCAAAAAAACCTTTCGAATAGTGCGATTCTCGGTAATTGGAGGTAAACGAAGGGGGCTGGGTAATAGATGCATTTGATATGTGCCATATAAAATGCAAACATGCGCAAATGAATAAACCTGAAAAAACGTAACAACAATTGTCACAACCTAGAAACCTTAATACCCTATTTGTGAGATATTTTGTTGGTATGAAAATATATTGTGCTCTATGCTTATTTAATACTATATGCAATAATTGATAAGTTTTGAGTGCACTTGAACGATAAAACAATTTTTTTTTTCAATGCACCCTTGTAATATTGTGATAGCAGAGAAAGAGAGATAGATAGAGAAGGAAGGGATAGAAAATAGAAAAGGGAAAGGGGAGAGAGAGAGAGGGACTGAGAGAGAGATCATAATATTAAACAAGTTTTTTATGAAAAACTACTTTTGTGGTGTTCGAAATATACATTTTCCTTTGCTTACATTTAATTACAACTTAAGTTGTGGTATACCCACTCCAGGTTTATATTTATAGGGTATACTGAATAATGTTTTCATTTTTTCCGCTTGAAAGCTATTAAACTTCGCACGTTTCCAAAATGAAAGAATCAAACTGTGAATTAATGTTAAAAGCACTGGAAATAAAGCCTGCGAATGCCATTTCGCTGGCGCCCACACACCACACACTCGCCCACGAACACACTCACAAAGGGTACACCCCCACCCCTTCTACACATACACACCCCCAACACCCCACCCACGCACACACATACACAGTAGCGAACATATAATGAGTGTGAAAAGTAATTCAATAATACGCTGTTAATTACACTTTTGATCTTTGCAATGATTAAAAAGAATTTTTTTTTAAATGTCAAAAGTGTCGAAATGTTAAAGAGCAAAACGATGCGTAAATTCGATTATAAAAATATATATGTATGTTATACATGTAATATATATGTTTGGACAGAGGCTTTACAGACACTCAGAGCTGCCCAGCTTTTGGGCCGACCTCAAACGCAGTCCGCAGCCCGCAGCCCGCAGCCACAATCCAACTGAATTGAGTTGAGCTAAAATCATTTATCCACAGAAACTGGATTTCTTTTATTTTGATTTTCTTTCTTTTTTTTTGTGGAAAATGCAGGAAATACAGTTGCAAGTAATTGAGTTTATCGACTTTGTACAATTCGTGTGGAATTGTACCTTTCTTTGCTTTTATTTTCGTTTTCCCTTCATTTTTTTTTTTTTTGACACAAGAAATATAAATTGTTTTCATCCCAAACCAGAATAAAAACATTCTCGATAAGCCATTTGGGTTTTTATTAAGCATATTTGCAGAACTATTGATTTATTTGCAGGATTGCTTTTAATTTGGCGATAAAGCACAGAATTCTGTTAAGATTTATGAAGTGCTGCGAATGGCAATGTTAAGTGGGCTTATCTATGGGCTAATAATAGCAGCTCGTTCATTTTATGATGTATAGAATTAATTGCGCACAGAATGCCAAATTGGAACATGTGCAAGCTCTTTAGATAAAAAATCGTATTATGGGAATAACGATTATTTGAATTAAAAGAAACTTGTTACATTTATTTTCATAGATTTTTGTTGCTGAAGAGATTATTAAGGTTTTCTTTTGATATCGGTGAGATTTTCTATTGATATTTTATAGATCAAGATAGATATTGGATAGATCGTTGGGATTTTCTTTCCATATACTTATGTATGCATATTTTTTATGGGTCATGTATTATAATATAGAATATATCTGTTATAATATAATATGCATATAATGTATATTTTTATATTTAATAAAATACTTTTAGCCGCGACTTTCTAACTATCCAACATATCTGAGAGCCATTCAGTTGCCTAACAAATATAGTTTGTTACGTAAAATTGATCGATTGATGATTTTGGCAGGCAACAATAAAAAATGTGCGATAATTGATTTGTCATTGATTGCAAAAGTTGATAACTGTTTTTTGTTCGTCAAATGTGGCGTAGGCCTTATATATGTTTAAAAGTTGAACAGCTGTTGTCTATTTTTCATTGCAATTTGATGATAAAGAGTTTATTATTTGCATATAGTTCAGAAAGTCAACGCGACATTCATTACGATAATGATAACAGCGATAATACGCATGAGTGCAAAAAATAAACAACTGATTTTGCTGCGATACGTGTGTCATCCGAGAGTCGGGCGCATGCAGATGACCCAAATTACCTGGGAAATTGCGCATACGCCATGTGTAACCGCCCACATTTGACTGACACAACTGTCAGCAGTAAAAAGCTGAGACTCTAATTAAAAAGGAAAACCCGACGAAAAAATAACTATGGTATTAAAGGCCCCTCTAAGAAAAGCCAAGGTTTGATGGACTAACAGAATACTGTGTTACTTAATTTATAAATATATATATATTAATGACTTAATTATATATAAATAAATATAAATATATATATATATATATATAAATATATTTATAGTATATAGTTTCAAAAGATTTTGTTTTAGAATCTGAGTTGATATTGATATATAATGTATGTATATAAAGCTATATAACTTCGATATCGTCTACAACCTGACCACACTTGTCCTACTTTCCCTGCTCTGCGCTTGCATGCGTTTACAGGGTATATAAAAACGTAAGCCAAGTCAACTGCAAATAGAGATACGCAGTTTTGTGGGCGTCACAGGGCGTTCCTGCACTTGCTACCTGCCCGTAGACGTGCGGCTAATTATGTGTCAGAGTTAGAGTGGAAGAGGGAGAGGGGGCGGGACAGAGGAAGTGAGTGCGACTGAGAGAGAAGGCAATGCTGAAGTAGTAGCTATATACTGACTGTAGCTTTAGCTTTGGTCATGGTAGTTGTTATATCTGGCAAATAATTACTATGCAAGTGGCATACGTAACGTTTGATGATCAATGCTCGTGGCGCGGAAGAGGTAGGAAATTAAAGAAGACGCAGCAGAGGAAGAAAGCCAATAGTTGGATGGAGGATGGGGGCAGGGAGGTATGTCAAATTCAAGCTGTAAATCAAATTGAAAGCGAGTACTCACCTTTTCCGTGCTGGACTGAAAGTAATAGACCATTACGAACATCCAAATGATGCTGACGAAGACAATTAATTTAATATTGCGACGCATGTTGATTGAATTTGTTATTTTATTTTTTATTTATATTTCCACTGGACAGCAAATGTTGCGGATTTTATATATTTGTTGTCGTTGCTGTTGTTGTTATATGTTTGGCAATAATATTTCACGTTGTATTTCACTGAGTAAAACAGAAATATTATAGCATTAATTACATTAATTAAGCATAACGGGCACGTGCTATAAATTGCAGTACTTAATTATTTAATTGAAAATCAGTTTGGTTTTTATTTGTTGTGTTTTTTTCTTTTCTACTGTCACTTTTATTTATTTAAATACTTTTTAATTCAATAAAATTAATTAGCCAGCTTTGTGCGCGGCCTGCAACTGTTCAGCTCTTGTGGCAGCTGTTTGCAGCTTCCGCTTGTGAACCCAAATGATAATTATCTGGCTGTTTGTTTAATTTTTTAGCCCGCGGCTTATAATATACAAGTTTTTCATGCTAGACACACTTAACACACATTAATGCAACAATAATTGAGTGTGCTAAGCTGCAAATATTGCAACATTTATCAGAGCATTTAACTAATGATAGTGGAAATCGAATGTAACACATCTTCGAATAGAGCGATGTGTTAGATAATATTTTATTAAAATTATTATTCACCCATGAATTGGCCGTTGAGTTTGTCATTGTTTGAATAGCATTTTGTATTTAAGTTAAATAAAATATTATTAAAATTATATACAAATATATTTACTTCTAAGATTCAAGGAAAAATGCAACACAAAACAAAGCTAAGCAAAATAAATGCCTCGCATTTTTATCTAACACTCAGATAAACTTTAGCTTATCAACAAGTACAATTCCCCGAAATAGATAAGCAATATCTGCCGCACAGTAGTCAAGTTCAAGCCCCAATTAAAAGCAAAGTGGGCGAGTTTCAAGTTCGAGCCCCAATTAAAAGCATGCTCGAGAATATGCTCTTCAATAATGTGGGTCAGTTAATGATATCATGCGCTATAATTAGCTGGTAAACGTCAAAATTCAATTTGATTTCTATTTTTACTGTTTTTAAAGCAGTGAAAGTAATTCACAATTGTCTAGTTAACTAGTTGTTGTTGCTTAGTTTTGGACACGTTTCACAGTTCACAGGTGCTGGCATTGGGCATTACGCATACGCAGCGTGGTGCGATAAGATAGCGCGAAACTTAATCGACTTTGAATTTGGATTTTGATAAAATGTTGCTCTTTTTTCTCTCTTTCATTATTTTTTATTTGTTTGCATTGCAGTTACAGTTATGTGTGGCTATCAATTTTTGATGCCAGCGAATAGAGTTGGGAAAAAAGCCGCAAGACAATTGACCAAATGTTTATGGCTTAATCATTGGCCGCTTTATTGTTGCTATTGCTGCTTTTGTTGTTGTTGTTGTTTATGGGGCATTCGTATTTGACACATTTATATCTATTGCATTTACCGCTCAGTCGTTTATTATTATGTTTTGTTTTATTATCGCGGCCGCAGCCGCTGCGAGCTTCCCAAAGGCGGGTGTCACGCGAGTCACGACTAGTCACGAGTTCGACACACCGTTAACACACACACGCACACGCACACAGACAGACAGCGACTGAGAGACACTGGGCGCGAGCGTCTGCGTCAGCGTCGCACACACGAATGGCCAATAAGCGCAGCGGCCGCGTATATTTTAATGGCAAAGGCAAATGCAGAACGTAACGGTAGTTGGTTTTAGTTCGATGCCAACTCGTTTGGCGTATAAGAGCACGCGCGCGCTGGCTGCTTCCGACTGCGAACATGTTGCATGTTGTGTTTGCTGTCCGTGCATTGGCCAATTACAACTTTGTTTGACTAATACCAAAAAATCTAACTTGGCGGCAATTCATGCTCGAGCAGTCACAATTGCTTCGAGCATACAAAAGTGCTTAAGTCAACGCTGCGTATGCGTAATATTTCGCAGTGAACAAAACGAGGCCAAAAGCAAATGTTTATTTATCTGTGCACGCTTGATTTGACTGCATTTAAAATTTATTTAATAAAATTTGATATTATTTCAGCGATATCATTAATGTATAGCAATTGATTTCTATATTTTATATTTCTGATTGCGCAGCATTCGTAAACGTTTTGCCGTTGCGTTGCGTATGCGTAATTGGCAAAGCAAATGCTTGTTTATTTGTGGAATGTCGTTTGGAGAGCAACTGAGTCCCTTCTGTTACTTCCTTTTATGTTGCATTCGTAAACGTTTTGTTGATAGCTTGTAAAATATCAGTAGACATGAATTTAACTTTAATACAAACATTTTCGATTATGCTATGACATAATGTTCCTTTTTAAAGATAGTTAAATTCATTCAGATTCTTATTTTTTTTTTTTAATATTTTCCCATTTCTTTTTCGCTTATATCTTTTCAATCAGGCCACAAGCTTTTTAATTATTTAGTGCTTATTTTTTCCTCTTCAAGCTTTGATATATTTATTTTAATGAGCTCTCCTTCAAATTTGATATGCGAGTGCAACAAAATGTTGCCATATTCAATTAAAACTAATTAAATATTCATTCAAATTGTTAGAATAAACTGCAGTTATGCAAATGCCACACTACAATACCAACAACAAAAGGAAATATTATGTGGCCAGCGTTTATTTGTAGTGTTGGTCAGTTTGAGTTTCGGGTGAGATAAATGCTTGCATTATTTATAAACTGACTGCCGTTATGTGTGTCTGTGTATGTGTGTGTGCGTGTGTGCTTGCGTGTGTGTTGGTGTGTAGTTAACAAGAGCCATAACGCTTAAAGGCCAACTGAAGCAGCTGCTGTTAAAGGAACTTGGACAGAAAAAGAAGAAATGCAAGTACAAATAGAATAACTAAACAGACAAAAGCCAAACATGGGCGAATGGCAGATACCCTGTAATGGGTAAAAACTAGTATAAATGGAAAAGAGAAATATAGCATTAATAATTGTATTATTTATTTAAAGGCTAAATCATTTTGAATGAACTTAATTTTACTTATATTATTTTTCCATTTTAAGACAATTATAAAATATATTGTCTTCTGCTTTTATCAAGCTTTTATCTAAAAACTTAAAACTGCATTAATCTCCTTTTTACATGAGAGCATACGTGGATCTTCGAATTCAATACGCCCGCTTGAACCCAAACCTTTTGATTGGATATTTTAGAGCAAGGATAAGCACATGGCAAATGTGGGTTACTGCCACTACGTAGCCGCAGCGTACCCTCCCCCCTTCTCCTTGCTATGCTATCTCTATGCCTCTCGCAGCATATCCTTGATTTTGCCCGCTGCCCCTCACTTATTTAAATTGGCTTAAAAACTCGAACGTACAACGAACCGTGCCACAAAAAGTCATGAATATGCAGAGACAGGCCGAGTGACAGAGAGACAGCGCAGCATAGATAGAGACAGACATAGAGCCAGACACAAGAGTCAAACAGTTATAAAAATACACATACATATGCAGTAACAAACCCCTCCCACACCGCTCTCCGCCACAGTTATATGAGTGGCATTCCATTAGACGTAATTAGAGCATTTAGCAGAGGAAAAAGTTAAGAAAAGCCAGCAGCAGCAGCTGCAGCAGCCAGAGCAGACAGTTGGACTAACCTATGCGCATGTATGTTGAGCTATAAACACATACATACACACATATGTATGTATATGTATGCATTTATTGTGTGGGTAAAACAATTTAGCTGCCGCTGCCGCTGCTGTTGCAAGTCTCGCTGTGGCCACCTCCAAGTGCAGCGACTTGGCTCAAGTACGATAATTAAAAGTTGGTTAAATGTTGCATGAGTTGCAGCATCCTTCAAGCCATGCCATGCCACATGGTCGCATAGCGTAGCGCACATTTGATTGCACACCATTTGCCAGTCTCTCCTCTGTCTCTCTCTCTCTTTCTCTCTCTCTCTCCCCCTCTTTATCTCTATCTGTCCCTCTCCGTGTGTGCTCACCTAGCCGTGAATACCGCTGCTGCGTATCTATCCAACCGCATTGCACATTCGGCAGTCACCGACAGCTCCCCAACAGCACACCTCCTTCCCCTCTACACAATATTGTCTCATTACTTGCTGACTTTTTATACCCTAAAACCCATTGAAATGGTTAAAATGGGTATATTGTTTTCATGCGAATTTATGTTACGACGAAAGGAAGCACCCCTGAACCCAGAAAGTATATATAGAGCTCAATGGATATGGTCATATCCGTCAGTCTGTTCTTCTGATTGATTTGGTCTTGAAATATGAAGTACCTTTTCTCATAGATCTAACACAGATCAAGCTCGTCATATATTTTTTTAATATCTTTTAAATATCTTAAAATTAATAATTCTAAAAGTCTAGGTACACTCATAAAATTTCCTGAATCGAATACACAGAAATTGAATTTAATATTTATTGGAATGCATTACTCAGACAGATTGTCGAGCTAGAGAAGAAGAAGCACCTGCGTAGCGAGCGTGCTTGTGTGCTTGTGTGTGTGTGTGTGTGTGTCTGTGTGTGTGTCTGTGTCTGTGTTTGTGTGTATACGGGTGTGTGTATGCGTAACCCAGGAGTATACGCAACCCACATAAACACACACCCACTTTACAGGGATTACAGCGTATCTCGTAGTCGTCTATTCTCAACTAAAGCACCCTTTTTTGTTTTTCATACATATGCAGTCCCTAGTAGGGGGGCGGTATACCAGCTGCCCCCCTCTCTCGACCACAATTCGCCAGAGCGTTTTTGTCATGTCTGCAGAGTTGGCGGAAATCAAAGTGCAAATGTATTTTGTCAAAAGCTGGCGCAAAACTTGGCGCCCATTGCGGAAATGTTGAAAATGTATCTGAAGAACGCTTTTAAAATTAATGCATAATTGCATTAGTCACTTCATTTACGGAAAAAGGGGCGTGGTATTTCGTAAGGGAACGGAGTAAATTGTTAAGGCTGCAGTCACCAAATTTGTAGCAAATTTATTAGCGTTGCGGTGCTGCAATGTGAGCGAAGGGAGCGGAGGATGGCAGACTGGGGCACGTTACTCTACGGTTGCAACGAAGGCAATCGAGCCACTTCTGTGTGAGTATGTGTGTGTGTGTGTGTGTGGGTGGGTGGTTGGGCGTGTGGCGCTTAAGTCTGTAGTCTGCCTAATGTCTTGATGACAAGCGCGGTGGGTAAGGCTGATAAGTGGCGTTAAGTGTTATCGTCCTTTGGCTGTGCGTGTATCTGTGTGTGTCTGTGTGTGTGTGTGGTGCCAAGTGCCACTCGGCTGTGGTGTACAATTTACGGCATTTAACGAATATCTCTGAAGTACCTGTATGTGCGCGGTTTATTCAGGTAAATGCTATTTAATCTTAACTACAGCTGCACAAGATTATTCTTTAATAGAGCCGATTTTATGCAGGGATTTGAGAAAAGGCATACAAGTGCTTTTCTATAAACTTTTTACTTGCAACCGGTTTCTGCTATAAAAGCCATATATCATCTGGTTTCAATTAGATAACGTGTTGCAAATATATGCGCAGAATTGTGATGCTCCTAAGTGCCCAGTTTGATGCAGATAGTTATAGGACTGTGACAAAGGTGGGCATAAAAATAGAAAAGAAAAATAACTTTAGCTTTTCGACTGTTGATACTGGTTAATATTTTATAGGGTCGAAGATGTCCTATTTGATGTGTTACCCTCGAGAATTTGTTTATACCAAGCAAATCGTTCGACAGATTCTGCCTAAAGAGCTTTATGCTGTAAATGGTCAAGATGTGTTCAAAATTAAATAAAGTTGTGTTTGGTGAAATTTGGCTTTTATGTTCGGAGCAAAGTGAAACTAATAAATGCTGAGTTTGGCCAAGATATTTCGATTAACAAACAAGTTGTCCATCAAGAATCTTCTTTTCGGCCGAACATTTCAATAAAAGCTACATAATATAATCGTACGATTTGTAAGTTTCATGATGACAATTGTACAACTGAGAAAAGTTGGCATAGAAAAACCTACTGATTGAGAATATGTGTATATATATATCTATGGAGCTATCCATTGTGGAGCCGCAATGACAACGAATAAGAACTGCGCTTAGCGAACTGCCTGAAGCTTGGCCAATCGGAAAGTGTATAAGCCAAATATACTCTTTTCCACTTTGCAAACAGTGTATATTCTGACAATGCATAGAATTATGAAGCCATAGTTCTACATCACTTTTTAAGTCTCAAAATTATTTATTTTTTTAATGCTGGCTCGAAGCTTTAATTATTTACTATAGTACTATTAATAAGAATAATAATTATTAGAATACGACTAATAATTATTTTGATTGTTATTTAATATTAGTATTATTATTATTATTGTATGTATTAAATTCCTTTTCACTCAAAGCAAGCGAAAATGTGTTTCACTTTATGCAAGTAATTTCTGTCAGTGTATTTGCCATGCTTTTGAAACAAGTTCCACTCTCTCAGAATTGCCGGCTTGGTCGTGCTCTCTCGCGCTCTACGCCCAAATACGTTTCACTTTCACTCTCTCTCTCTCTCTTTCGCTCTCGCTCTTCGAGGGTGGCTTTTGGTTGGGCAAAGCGACTGTCATCGAGTGCGTGAGGTTTCATTTAAAGCACCTAAATGTGCCCAGCCCTGCTTGGCAGACATCCCTTACCCCGCCCCACTCTTCCGCCCCCCCGCGCTGACCCACCAACAGAGCTGTCAGCTGCTGCAGTAATTTTGTTGTTGTTTTTTTTTTACTATTGGCACGCGAATTGCAGGCGCGTCTTTTGTTTGTCTGCCTTCGATTTTTACAATAATTCACACACACAAGCACACATACGCACACACACACACACACACACACGCGCTTTTAGGCACAACAACAAGCATTGATAACTTACAATTTGTATAACAAAATAAATTGAAAACTTTTATTTTGTTTTCATTTTGTTTTATGCTTCACTCGTATTCTGTTAGGCAGCACTTGGCTTTTATTCTACTTCTACTTCTTCTTCTTGATGTTTCGCGTAATTTGTCGTTAAATGCACTTTTGGTGTTTCGTTTATAATTGTTTGTGGTTTATAGCAAAAATATGAGTATTTCTTTATAAACTAATTTTTATTTCTAGCTATTATTTAAGTTCTTATTATTTATTGTATATTATTTAATTAAATAAAGCGACGCGTTTCGTTGCGTTTGTTTCGTTTGCTGCGAGCAACTGAGGACGGCGTTTGTTGTTGTCGTTGTCGTTGTTGTTGTTGTTGTTGTTTTTGCCGTTTCTGTCTCTGTTTTCGGGTTGTTATTCTTTCCATTTTTTTTTGCCCCTTCTCTTTTGGAGTATTTTTTCTTTTGTCGCGCATTTCCGTGTTTTGCTACCCTTTTGCTTCCTTATCGCAGTTTCGTGCACGCTCTCTTTCTCTCTCTCTCTCTCTCTCTCTCTTGCGCTAACAAAATGCTCTCTTGGGAGAGAGAGCTTTGCGCCTGCGCTAAAATGTTTTCGTAGGAAAATTTGAATTGACAAATACCGTTAGTCAAACGGCCGTAAGATAAGTCCACAACTACCGGAAAAAGTCTTAAAGGATTAAATTCCTATTGAATTATAGCATTGTCAAGTTTTTATTAAAAATCTTTGAAACTGGGATTAAATAATATATATGTATATGTACTTGTTAATTTAAGTATCCCAAGCAAAGATAATAAAAACAGAAGTGCTTATATTTTCTATTCCCCAATCCTGTTTATTTAGAAATATTCATTTGTGAAGCTTCTCAAAATGTAAAATGCAATATTAGGATAAATTATTGAACGCAACATTTATATAACCTACATTAGGTTGTATTTTAATTTATTTGTTATATATTTCAGTATCTCTTTATTAGTTTTTTTTTTTCATTTTGCCAATTCTTTATTCATTTTTATTATCACAATCTAGCGTGATCGTTGATATTTCGGAATGGCAATGTTATACCATTTGTCCTCGTCCTGATCTTACAACTAAAAAAAATTAATCAAGTATGACTGAATTATATAAAATTTAACATTTAAGTACGACCAACTTTGACAAAATAAACTATATCTCGCGATTGGGGTTGAATAACTATTTTGGATATGCTGCAAAAAAATGTAACTTTGCCCAAAATAACTATATCTTGCGAGTTGTCTTGGGAATGGTATACCACGTCAATGCTCTCGCGCTTCTCAGTTGATTGCTGTATGATATATTAAATTACTTTAACAGACTGTGGCTTAGATATTTACCAGCTATATATAGTTCGGGCTGGCATCATAAGCTTCTGTTTACCCAGTCACACATCAAATGGGGTATTTTCAAAGTAAACTTATGCTTTGGGCTCTCAATAAATGCACATAAATTTCTATTAATATATATTTACAAACATATACACATGTATATACATTTCTATATGAAATACAATTTCATATATTGAAATTAATTTCTTCAAAACCAACGCATGTGTCACATTGTTTTTGTTAGTTGCTTCCCTGCCCCAGTTGAAAAAGCCGCAAATAAGAAAAGCTGGTGACAAAAGAATTCGTGGCATGATGCGAGCACAAAAACCGAACTGACATTAAGCCCAGCAGACAGCAGACAGCATTCCGCAAACCATATTCAGTCATATCCTACGAATATATTAACCCCTTTCTGTGCCATACCACCCTCCCTCCCCCCCCGTTCACCCCACCCAGCAATCCTTTGGCCGTCTTTTCCCAGCTGCCAAGCGACTTGCATGTCATTTATATGGATTATACATGGGAAATCATTAATTTTTGTTTTTCTTAGCATTTGACTTTTGGGCTCTGTGGAAATTTGCATAAAATTGTTTTTCTTTACGGGTTGCTTAGGTGTTTTGTTGGAGGCGTGGCATGGAAATTAATAAGACAACACACACGCACACACACGCGCCCAGTCACACACGCGCCCGATTTGTTGCTCAGCCTTGGAATGTCTGTACGCATTGATAAGAAGTTGTCCTCCTTCTTTTGGCGTGTCGATGTGTTTGTCTATTTATATTTGGCCAAGTCTCTGAGTAGGCCTTGAAATACTTGAGAGATAATGTGGCATGAACTGGCGGTTGCTTAGACGACACATAAGATTCACTTCTATTTTACATATTCTTGGAAGAGCTTAATTTGTTAAGCACAACTAATTGGCACTCTTTTCTTTTTTTTTTTTTGTGAAGCCATTGCGAGTTAACAAATTCTAATTTCTTAATGTCATTTTAAGTCGGGGCATGCATGTAATTCCAATTCTGATTTCATTGTTTGACAATGATAATAATCACAATTATAGTGTTATCGATAAATATCGAGTTAATTATCTTCCGATATCTCCTATTTTCGATTGTAGATTTTGTGAGTGCGAGAGTACACTTTCGATTATTATTAAGTTCTCTACAGTTGTGCATTTTAAATTTGTTTTCATTAGAATCGCATTACAGCCCTCTCGCTTCGGTTGCTCAACACACACATTCGTGTGGCCATATTTGTTATACAATCTGACCCACTTGTCCTAAATTTTCATAGGTCTATAAACAATGCCTATGTACATTATGGGCGCCAGCGTCAACACGGCTCCATTCCACGGGACTTCCTGATGTAATAATTGCAATATTATGTTTGAGTCGCACATTTGGCCAAAGGCTGAGAAACTGTATACTAACTGGAAAGCTGAAGCACTGAAAAACTAGGAAAACGGGTTAATAATGCCATATAAAATAGTAAAGACGACACTTTCGTGACTGGCTCATGCCGGCAGCTACTCAGCCAACATTGTTTGCTGTTTGTTTGTTTGTTTGGCCGTTTGTTTTTATTTTGCCGGAGAGCGGAAAGTGAAAGGCAGCCAGCACATGAATATGTATTTAAAGACTAGTTGGCCGGGTCGGTGGGTGGCGGGGTGACAGGGTGTCGGGTGGGTTGCCGGCTATGAGGGGTGGCTTGGTTGAACAACAAAGGCCAAAGCATGTCGTGGAATTAATGTTATCACAAGTAGCTGTAGCATGGCGGCAACTGTGGCAGGTTCATTGACACACACTTTAACACACACAACATGCTAATAAATTGTCATAAATGCCTTGCGAACAGCATTAAATACATGATGTTAGCAATGAAGCCACCTGCCCTGGCAACCAACCAACCAACCAACCACCCAACCACCCAGCCACTCAGCCAACCACTTTGCCCCTTCTCATCCGCATTGCTTGGCATGTTGCATGTGTCGCAATTGCCACTCTAGTGGCATCCATCAAAATATTAAAAAAAAAAAAAAATGTAATTTGAAAACGCATTTTCCGCTTCTGAAGACTTTTCCATGTCATTCCTCTCGCCGCAGCAGCATTGCGGTCTCAAATTGAAAATTAATGAAGAGAAAAACTCGCACTTTCCGCCGATTTTTCGCCATCATGTCTGACGTGAACGCTGAACGTGTCAAAATAAAAATGCATTGTAATGGCTTAATTGGTATTTATGGCCGAACATTGTAACTGAAATAATTACGCGTACGTGAGATCCCATCAAGGCATAAGTTTGCACAAAAACTTACTATACGATTGAGTGACATTTATTTGTATGCACTGTGAATGAACGGGTTAAAAGGGGTTATATGAACTGCATGTAAATGGAATAATAGAGAATTAAATCATTTGTTAATGAATAAAGCTCAAATAGCAATTACATTTTCTCAAATAACTTATTACATATCTTCTTTATTCTTATGTATATAAAAATAGCGCTTGATATATATAAAATATAGTGTATCTTAAATCTGAATACAGGGTATTGCTAGTCGAGCACAGGCAGCTAGTGCCAACTTGTTTCCCATGACAATTTGTACCGCATTAATTTTTTGATATTAACTGAAGAGGAATTTGTGCGTTGTTCAATTTATTGCATTTGCAAAAAAGTAATATTATACTCAACTCTGTTTGCAGTAAATCAGGAAAATAACAGATTAAAGATTCAATTAAGCATTTTAAAAGTGAATGAACGTAGGCAGCATTGCATTTGAAGCCTTGTGTAAACACACTATCGTATTTATGCATTCGCTCTCGAGAGAGATTATCGGTATTTCTTCATTCGTAAACGTTTTGCGTTTCTTTATTGAATACAAAAACGATACCAATTATTAATAAGACAATGATTAAATTATGTTTAAGCCCATTCGCTTTTTCGGTTCGAATTTTTGTGCTGCTGCTGTTTTCTTAAATTTCAGAACACTTCTCAAAACTTTGATAAATATTAATTCTGCGCAGGATTTTATTTATGCTTTTGTATAAAATTGATATTCCAAATTTAAATAATTAATCGAATAATTTAAATAAAATACATTTTATTCTTTGCAACTTTAAATTCAACCCAAGCCTGATAAAAAAACCAAACAAATCATTTCCTAAGTAGTATAATTCATTGTATCATAGCTCTACATTATTTCGCTAGCTAGAGCTTCGCTCATAATGCTAATAAATTTGTGTTAATATTTCTTTCGTTATTTATATATTCGAGTTCTAAATGCAATTTGTCGTCATTATGAGAAGTTGGCCGGCACTTGGCAAACTTTGACGCGATCTATTGTTGGCTTATTGGCAACAAATGAGCGAAGGCAACGATTGGCAAGGGATTGTGCGGTGGCGGGGGCCAAAGGGCTGTTTGTGCCTGCAACGATTCATTGTGGGCCCTGCTGCTGCTCGTTAGCCATGGCCATTATGCTGGATTGCGTATTATAAATATGGGAATATAATGGTAAAGTGCAGAATATTGCACATAATAATTTACAAGCGGACGCGAATTGATTTATGGCAAGTCACGTAGCTGATGCTAACGGGCGAAAAGGTGCACAGCCAGCTAGGAAAATCTATATGGGTAGTCGGGGCGGGCTACCCTGGTTTCGCGATTGCACTTCTCAAAAGGCGGCCATTAAATATCGTGCCAACCCGTGCCGCTTAATTCACGTGCTGGCGAGTTTTCCGAGCTGCAACTCTGTCGAGCAGAATGTAATTCAGCTGGCTTTGACTAGCTAGCCGGAAGGCTGCGCTAGGTTCCATCCATTAGCATAATCGATGGCAATTCGTTTACCTCGACTGCAACAACAACAAAAAGAAGAACAACAACAAGAAGTTGCCTCTTGCC